CACACTTATAATTATGTACTAGAGGATCAAGAAATGCCTTTGCTGTAATTAGAGCCTGGCGATAAACTGGATGGAAACTTCTGATCATATTGCTTTCCGCTACTGCCGTACAGACGGACCAGCACGTATTATCTGAGTCCACGCCAGGCTTGGGTACCACGTGATAGTAGTCATCAGGAAAGAATGTTGCGCCAGCTGGTTTGCCCGAGATTCGTACTCCCGGCGTGCAATCTACCGATATAGGTAGAAATTTAAAATGTCCGCCGCCAACAAATATCATGTCAAATTGTGTGCAAACTTTATTCCATGCCAAAATATGTGACCTTTGTGTTTTGAATGAATGCTCTCCGTTTTTCATGAATTTCGATACAGCCTGGCACAATAGCGTAACAAATTCCTCCTTTAGATTTACCGAAATATGCTGGTCTGAGTTTTCCTCGCGAATTCTTACAAAGCCAGCTGTATTAGATTTTGTGTTTTCAATAATTAATTTTTCTCGATATCTATCGATTTCGAATAGGAAGTCGTATTCGTCCGGCAGACCAGCTTTTGTGCGGTTGGCCGTGCTGCCTATCAGAATGGGCGTGCAGGAGAAGTCACTGTTTAAGACTTTCATTTCCTTGCAGACTCGCTCCATCATGTCTAGCACGGCTTCCCGCATTTGATTGCATTCCCCCTGATGCTCTAATCTTCCCAAGCCTGACGTCTCCCATATATCAACAAGTGACGTCACACCACTGACATTACAGCGTACCTCACGTTCTATGTCACAATAACAACAGTCGGGCAGCTCACTGACAAAGTATTGGTGCTCCAGTATAGCGCCGGCGGATTCTCTATAGCAGTCGTTGATGGTGACGTCACGGGCGCTATTTACGGCCACCTGGTACGCTGTTTGCACGTCCTCATGATGCCACGCATCATTTATCTTATCACACCTTATTTTATCCAATAATTCCGTCACAATGCTTGCGTGACCGCCGTCGGCAGCTCTCACCAACGCCGTCCAGCCATTGTTATCGCGACGCTCCACTCGCGCTCCTGTTGCTAGTAGCTTTATGACACACGATGTATGACCTGTACTGGCAGCAAGCATCAATGCCGTCTCGCCATCATCGGCCGCGTGATCTATGTTAGCGCCCGCACCTAGTAGCGCTGTAACCGTATCCGTATGACCGCTAATAGCTGCGCTCATTACTGCCGTGTAGCCACCATGTTTCGCGTGTTCTATGTTAGCACCTGCACCTAATAACGATGTGACGATATCCGTATGACCGGTAACAGCTGCGCTCATTACTGCCGTGTAGCCATCATCGGCCGCGTGTTCTATGTTAGCGCCTGCACCTAATAACGCTGTGACCGTATCCGTATGACCGTTAATAGCCGCTACCATTACTGCGGTGCGGCCATCATTGTTCGCGTGTTCTATGTTAGCGCCTGCACCTAATAACGCTGTGACCGTATCCGTATGACCGTTTACAGCCGCTACCATTACTGCGGTGCGGCCATCATGTTTCGCGTGTTCTATGTTAGCACCTGCACCTAATAACGCTGTGACCGTATCCGTATGACCGTTAACAGCTGCTACCATTACTGCCGTGTAGCCATCATCGGCCGCGTGTTCTATGTTAGCACCTGCACCTAATAACGCTGTGACCGTATCCGTATGACCGTTAATAGCTGCTACCATTAATGCGGTGCGACCATCATGTTCCGCGTGTTCTATGTTAGCACCTGCACCTAATAACGCTGTGACCGTATCCGTATGACCGTTAACAGCCGCTGCGGTTAATGCGGTGCGGCCATCATCGTTCGCGTGTTCTATGTTAGCACCTGCACCTAATAACGCTGTGACCGTATCCGTATGACCGTTAACAGCCGCTGCGGTTAATGCGGTGCGGCCATCNTACTGCCGTACAGACGGACCAGCACGTATCTGAGTCCACGCGAGGCTTGGGTACCACGTGGTAGTGGTCACCAGGAAAGAATGTTGCACCAGCTGGTTTGCCCGAGATTCGTACTCCCGGCGTGCAATCTACCGATATAGGTAGAAATTTAAAATGTCCGTCGCCAACAAATTTCATGTTAAATTGTGTGCAAACTTTGTTCCATGCCAAAATATGTGACTTTTGTGTTTTGAATGCATGCTTTCCGTTTTTCATGACTTTCGATACAGACCGGCACAATAGCTTAACAAATTTTTCCTTTAGATTTACCGAAATATGCTGGTCTAGGTTTTCCTCGCGAATTCTTACAAAGCCAGCTGTATTAGATTTTGTGTTTTCAATAATTAATTTTTCTCGATACCTATCGATTTCGAATAGGAAGTCGTATTCGTCCGGCAGACCAGCTTTTGTGCGGTTGGCCGTGCTGCCTATCAGAATGGGCGTGCAGGAGAAGTCACTGTCTAAGACTTTCATTACCTTGCAGACTCGCTCCATCAGGTCTAGCACGTCGTCCCGCATTTGATCGCATTCCCCCTGATGCTCTAATCTTCCCAAGCCTGACGTCTTCCATATATCAGACAGTGACGTCACACCACTGACATTACAGCGTACCTCACGTTCTATGTCACAATAACAATGGTCGGGCAGCTCACTGACAAAGTATTGGTGTGCCAGTATAGCGCCGGCGGATTCTCTATAGCCGTCGTTGATGGTGACGTCACGGGCGCGATCTACGGCCGCCTGGTACGCTGTTTGCACGTCCTCAGGATGCCACGCATCATTTACCTTATCACACCTTATTTTATCTAATAATTCCGTCACAATGCTTGCGTGACCGCCGTCGGCAGCCCACGCCAACGCCGTCCGGCCAAATTTATCGCGAAGCACCACACGCGCTCCTGTTGCTAGTAGCTTCATGACACACGATGTATAACCTCTACTGGCAGCATACATCAACGCCGTCATGCCATTATGATCCGCGTGTTCTATGTTAGCATCTGCACCTAATAACGCTGTGACCGTATCCGTATGACCCTTAACAGCTGCGCTCATTACTGCCGTGTAGCCATCATCGGCCGCGTGTTCTATGTTAGCGCCTGCACCTAATAACGCTGTGACCGTATCCGTATGACCGTTAACAGCTGCGCTCATTACTGCCGTGTAGCCATCATCGGCCGCGTGTTCTATGTTAGCGCCTGCACCTAATAACGCTGTGACCGTATCCGTATGACCGTTAACAGCTGCGCTCATTACTGCCGTGTAGCCATCATCGGCCGCGTGTTCTATGTTAGCACCTGCACCTAATAACGCTGTG